CTAATAAAAAAGTTCTTAATAGGTTTTCTCGAACGGAGATGAAACTCATGTGAGGAAAGCTCTAAAAAGACTCGACATTGAAGATTGTTTTGAGAGAATCATTAGTTTCGAAAACTTAAACCCTAAGATCGACGAGGCTGACACAGATTATGTTCCCGAGATTCCGGTTATCTGTAAACCAACCGAGATTGCTTTCCACAAAGCCTTCGACATTGCACAACTCAATCCTTACACAACCGTAAGATTCAAAAACTAATAACTCCCAAATATAAAAATATAAATAGAGACTTTTTTTTTTTTTTTGTATGATCCAAGCTTTTTTATCTTACCATTCACTAATGTGACCATGTTTATTGAACAGTTGTTCTTCGACGACAGTACTCGGAACATCCAAACCGGGAAATCCGTGGGTCTCCATACCGTCCTGGTAAGAACCGGTTAACATCTTCTTTTTAATTATGGAACAAATTAGCAATTTTTTTTATGTTTGGTTTAGGTTGGTAAATCAGAGAAAATTGATGGAAGTGATTACGCGTTAGAAAGCATTCATAACATGAAAGATGCGTTTCCGGAGTTATGGTCGGAATGCAACAACAACAATGAGTCTGAAACAATTGTTTACGCTTCTCAGATCTCGATTGAAACTTCTGTTCAAGCTTAGTTTTTTTTTTTACATGTTTACATATAAACAATGTTTAATAAATAAATAAAATCCATATATGCACCGTTTATATTGTTGATGCAACGGTTGATGTCTATGTATTTGTCGTTTCTTAATTGATATATAATTTGCTTTTTGTTACAAAAATAAATAATAATGTTATTGGACGGGTTTTGATATTTCAGATTTCGCTTATGTATGTATATAACTATACGGAATCGAATTTTGTTTATTTTTGTCAACAAACCGAATCGAATATATGGAGGAACAAATTAAGGCGCACGATACATACATAAGGGAAAAAAAAAAGTGGTGGTCGGCAAAACAATTACACGTGTCGTTCGATTATTCGTTTATCGGGTAAAAGAAAATCAAAGAGCCACGTGGAGAAATCGTAGATGTGGACGTGAGTGTAATAAATTGCTTTCTCTCCAGATTTAACGACAACCAATGGATGCTGGAGTCATGCGAAATTCAAGACGTTTGGCCAATAAATTGCTTCCTCTTCTATTTTTTATTTAGGGAACCTTTTATTTATTGAGTTAATTTGCCCAATAACCACCGAAAAAAAAAAAAGTTAAGTATGTAACCAAATTAGCTCTATGTGGCATAATATCAACCTCAAAATTTAGGGGTTTTGATTATTTTTATTTTTTTTGGTTACTCGACAAATTAACCCTTATTTATTATTAACCTCAT